ACATGGCTATCAATCGAGTATATTTTTTCATTTCAATTCTTTGTATTGCTTTAGTTTTGCATCCAGGTAACATACTTATTTATTCTCTACATAATTTTTTATTATTTTATAAAAATAATTGATGCCACAACACCTTCTCAATATAAAAAAAAATTGTATTGATTGTAGGTGGTGCAAGAAGATATGAAGAAATTATGAGTGATGATATCACGACTGATTGTTTTGACACACCAGAATGTCCATTATCTAATGAAAGTTGTTTACAGAGATGTGGACGAAGAGGTTTGAAAAGTGGAAGTTGTCAAGGACATCTATGTTGTTGCCAAATAAATACACTCTAATGTAGCCCTGTACCTCTGTACAAGTTAATGTACGAATATTATTATCATTTTGGCTTCTATCAATAAAATTTAAAAATAAATACATTTAAGTAATTTTACATCGATCTCAATTTTAACTATTACATGTAACATTATTTTTATTTCCCATGAAAGGAGATAATTTTCCATTGATCAATTAATTATATAAAGTTACCATGATTTTAGTGTCTTAAAATCATTGAAACCAATCTCCTCAATTTATGTGAAAATACTTATCATAAATCGTTGATATTAATGGACATTTCACTACTGTCTTATCCACAAGGAAGTGTGACTGTCACCTCTGCCCCTGGGGTCATGAGGAGGAGAGTGACAAGCTTGGGATCGTCCTCGTGGTCCCGTAATTTCTAGGTGCTGAGAGATAGCATCACTGAGAACCACCTGAGGCGTGAGTCTGGGATCGAACAACTTGTAACCTCCTGTCGAATGATATCCTACTAGGATCATTTGATTCGATTTGTCATCAGATTTTCTTCTCAAATGATATGACACATGTCTATGTGCTATCGATCCAAACACTTTCACATGACTCAAGCTATGATGAATGTAGATAGTTTAAATATAATGAATTAGGTGGTGTGTTAAATTGTAATTCATAGTATCGAATAATGTGTGTGTCAAATTAAATTTGATTTAGTTACACACAAGATTTGATTTCGATCTAAAATAGAAGAGATTTGATTTAGGTTTAAATTAGAGAGATTTGATTTAGTTTTAAAATATGTATTTTGGACTTTTATAGTTTTGGGCTTTTGGCTTAGGGAGCAGGCTAACCTAAATATATAAATAGAGGAAGTAACCCCTATTTTGTAATCAATCAAGTTGTATTCACAAAATTTACAGTTGCAAGTAAATAAGAAGTTTTCCATAACTTGTGGACAGAGAGAACTCTGTAGAAAATCATTGTCTTCTCTTTCTTTTATTCTTTCATATAATTCATTTTTATTGTATGGTTATAACAATCTTGTTCATCAAGATTGATAGAAATTCATCATAGATATTGGTGGATTTTCAATATCTGGTATCAAGAGCTCCGGTTGAGTGATCATAGGAAGTATAAGAAAATCAATGGCGGTGAATTATGAAAGTGGAAATTTTTCATCAAATCTTCATATTCTTAAAGGTGATTGTGATACGGTGGGAGAACTGACTTGGTTGTTTTGCATTTGATTGCAAATTTTGCAGTTAGCAAGAGTCGCCATCGACTTTTCTTTTAACCAAAAGGAAAGGTGAAAAAGCACAGGAAATGCATTTGATCATTCAATCAAATGGATCAGAAAATATAAGCCACTATCGATCAGTTCAAGGTGTGTATTCTCAATGGATTCAATTGCAACGCGTTCTCACCCATATATTTACTTGATTCTTGTTACAATAGCTTTTACATTAAATTTAACAGAGAAATTTTTTGAAAATATTATCATGAAAAACTTTAAACAAATATTATAGAACTATGGTATACCATTGAATCAATTATAATACCTATGCCTTAGTTTATTAATAGTGCAAAAGAAATTATGGAAGAAAGTAGATGATCTCCTACAAGAAAAATAATTTGTAATATCCCTATATGAAAAATTGAATTGAAACCCGTTTATTTACCAAAGTTTATAGAATTATAGAATCAAGGATAAAATGATCAATATTTGGATAAATCCCCATTAATCTTATACTATAAATTGAGTTGAATCAAGATTTTATAGAGTCTAAAGTATACTTAGAAAGTTCCAAAATCCACTATTTGAGTAAAAGGGCCTACATTGGTAATATGGTTTAATAGCAAAGTTATTTTGGTAACTTCTTATTTGTTTAATGAAAGGAAACTTCATGGTAATTGCTTATATAATTTAAGCCTTTTTATTTTGATGACCGACATTCTCAAAAGTTTTATGTTCCTCTCAAAAGCATAGAATGAACGTGAAAATGGGAAGGAAAAAAAGGAGAAGGGAGACTCCCTCCAATGGCTATCATATTTGAAGTATCTCTCAACTATGCAAATTCTCCGACTGCATGCTAATAATTTTGTAGTCTTCATTTTTGTAATGCAAAGATCACCATTATCGAGAAGCTTGATAATGGATAGACAAAAAGCTTAGCTCAATGGAGGCAATACTAGTATAAAAAACACTTATTAAGTGAGAAAAGATTAAATTTTTAGCTCGGTTTTGTACCCGACATAAAAGTAAATATTGTATCCAGTCAAAACTTATTGTAGAGACATCTCAACTGCTGGACTACTTTACGAGCAAATGATCTTAAAACTTTTAGTTACCTTCAATATAAACCCCTTAGGCTATAATATTTGACTCTAAGACAATGCTTAATTTTTGTGAGGTAAAAAAATTGTTCTTGTAAATGTAATAGACAACAAATTTAATATTTCATTGCAGGAGGATAAATGTTTTTGGCAAATGATATGCAATGACTGAAAAACATTCTTGTAGATGATAAAGAAAAATATTTTTTATTCTCTTTTTTAACAATAAATAAAAATCATTCTTATATAATTTTAAATTATTTTAATATAATTATATATTTAAAACCGTTCTCTTATATTCAATAAAATAAAAAATACATAAATTGTTCGGATATAGTTTTAAGCTATTATAATTTTTATAAGACGTCGTAATTTTTTTCAACTTTTTACTCTTCTATTGCAAAAATAAAAATTTTCTAAACTAATATAATCTCAAAATTTCAACTCTTATCTCCCAAACATAGAAATTTTCTAAACTAATTCTTTCAACTGCTTCTTCTAAATCCTAAATCACAAACTCCAAATTTACAAAAAATTCACACCTTAATTCAAAGTCTCTAAAATCAAAAACCGTGATTCGCTGTCAATCAACACATAACACCTATATTCTCATTTTCACAACCTTAATAAAGAAGCACAAACCACCTGAACTAAAGGTGTCATTCTCTCTCTCACTCTAACTGTATTTCTCTCTTTCCTCCACTTCAATTCCTTTTAAAATATAATCTCTAATCCACAATTACATAATTTCTGGTTAATTCAATTCAATTACATAATTCATTAATTTCATAGATACAAGTCCTAATCCTCAATTACATAATTTCAGGAAAGAAATTCAAACCCATTTCAAAATTTTTGAATTTCATAAGATACAAACCTAATCCCCAAATCGATTATTTCTGGTAATATTTCTAAGCAACTTCAATTTAAAGTACAAATCCTTAAACTCAATTCAATAATTTAAGTATAACATGTAAAATCTAATTGAGTTTGGGAAAATATACATATTGGCATAGATATGAATAATTACCTGTAAAAGGAGACGACAATATGGAATCATTCCTTTGAACCATATACGATCTGATGAAAAACACAATCAATACGAATTACACGAACATTTACTCTGAGTGTTAAACATCGAACATGAACACGGTTACGAAATTGTGTGGGAGGGAAGCGGTTGAATACGAAATTCGGATTTTTAGGAGAATAATGTAGAAGGAGTTTCAAGAAAAAGTGGGTGGAATTTAGGGATTTGGAATTTTAAATTGCTATTTCGAATTATTCAATAAGAAGAAGAACGAAGAAGAAGAATGGGGACTGATAAAAGTTATTTTAGAAAACATTACAATTTAATAAAAATTAATTTTAATTTGTAAAATATTATTAAGTGAATGGAGATTGATATGCAATAATTAAAAGTTTCTTTTAAAATGGATTCACCGTAAAGTTACTCCACCATAAAGCTGATGTGACTTAGGACTTTTTTTTTTTTGGATGATTAAAGTGACTTCTTTGAAGAAGTCAATTGTGTAACTTCACCATATAAACTCCCTAAACAAAAAGACACAACTAATAGGGGGTGATGTTTTAGAGATAGTAGTGGTAAGTTTTTTTAATGCATGATTAGCATGAAATTTTGGTCTCCTTTCCATAATAGAAGCTGAAGCTTTAGCTTTGAAAAAAGCGATGCAGGCAGCCATCCATATGCAATTGAACCAGGTTATTTTTTAGGATGATTCTTAATTGGTGGTGCAACCAATACACAATAATTATGTTGGTACTTCCGAGTTTAGTTTGACTATCTTTTGTATTCATTTCAATTTTGAGGTAAAGTTTGTTATGCGTCAAGCGAATTAGATTGTTCATATGTTAGTCAGAGCGGTCGATTCATACTCTAGGCGTAATGCGTTTGTGTATTAGTGTTGTAAATTATAAGTCAGATATTTTTATGTAGTCGCATATGATAGTGTTACATAGCGTGCATAAGTTTTCATATAGTTGCTTGTGCAAATGATATAACATTTTGACTTGCACACATTGCATGAAAAGTGTACTAACGTTTATATTTTAATATAATTTTTATCAGCTATTAATATTTTTGTATGTACACACATTGAACTATCAAAACCAGAAAGCATGATCAAAGCATTTAACAAGAAATCTGTCACTTTATCAACTGGTTTGATTCTTCCTTTCAGATGAGCCATTGATTACGACGACATAATGATGCTAACCTTGTAATTTCTTTTTGTATTTCACTAAGGAAAATCAAAATCCAACTCAAGATAATCTCAAGTCTCAGATTCAGATAATCTACTTAACTTAATGTTTTATAATTATAGTAGAGAACCAAATCTGACCTACATATTTTCTCTACCTAGTTCATGTTCGTCTTCATTGCTATTTCCTTCACTCTTAATCTCTTTTTTGATCATTTTCTTGGTATGGAGGAAATTGATAAGGTCTTGTAGGCATTCTGTAGCCTCGACATCTTTTGTTAGCTCTTCTGCTATTTCAGCTGGAGTAACTTTCACTTGTCCTAAAAGTTCTTGAATCTTTTCAAATAGTTCATGTTCATTAACACAAAGATAGTTCATTGCCAATTGCTTAAAAGCAGAAAAGTTGCAATATGAAAGGTGAATTTGCTTGTCCATTCTACCAGGTCTTAGCAGAGCAGGATCAAGTCTTTCTTTGTGATTCGTCGTGAAAACAATTATGTGTTCCTCTCCACAACACGACCAAAGACCATCTACTGCATTCAGTAGTCCTGATAGTGTCATCTGTCGAAAAATTATAATAAAAAATTAGTTTAAAATTATGCCATCACTATAAATTTGACATGAAAAGAAATACATACCTTATTGGATCCATTATCAACTGGTTCTTCATCTTTTTCTCGGTTCTGCAGTTTAATAGTGCAATCAATATCTTCTATCACAAGTATAGAACGATTTGACACGCCAAGAATCAGTTGCCTCAAGCTCTTATTATCCCCTACAACAGTGAGATCCAAGTCATAGATATCATAGTGGAGATAGTTAGCCATGGCTGCAATCAAGCTAGACTTGCCAGTACCAGGAGGACCATACAACAAGTAACCGCGTTTCCAAGCTTTCCCAGTTCTTCTATAAAACTCTCTAGCCTTCACAAATTTGTCCAAGTCATTCACAATTTCCCTTTGAAGCTTTTCATCAATCGCAAGAGTGTTGAAACTCATTGGATGGTTGAACTTAACAGGTTCATGAGACCAGCGACTATAGTCATTTGAGTGAATCTTAAGGGCTATGTTTCCTTGTTTAACTTTCCTAGCTACTTCCATCACATAAGGCAAATATGAATCAAAGATCTTGTTCTTCTGTTTCTTGTGAAAAGTTAACTCGTAGGATCTTATTTCTGCCACGGACGAGGAGTCACGATCGTAATGTCGAATTCTCGATGAGTCCACTGATATGCAAATTAGTTTCCACTTTACACTAACACCTTCAAAAAGATCGTTCACTTCTTCATTTCTATCAATATTGAATGAAAGCTTTTTATGATCCTCAGATTTGCTTACCTTAACTCTCTCTGCTGAGACAGTTGCTGCTTTAGTTCCTAGGTAGATTTCTGCAGCCTCAAAAACTTGGTTTCTTGCCATCCCTTGAAATTCTTCAATCACTATCGTGAATTGCGCGGAAAATTGACGAAAAAGATGATGAATTCCTGATTGAAAAAAATGTAGAAGCTCATGAGGAACGAGTTCATTAGTGATAGTCCGCACTAGCACAATTGAGGTTATTGCAGGTACAAGAGCTTTGGTATCAAACATTTTTGCCATTGATAAAAATCACACTATTGAATGCAATAGATTGAAATCCTGCAAAACATAGGAAAAGTAATCAAAAATATAATTTTGTTGGGATCTAGACATGAAGACGTGCATAGCAAGTATTGAATTAAGAGCGTGAAAAACAAATAAATAGAAACTGGTACAAGCATGTTAACAAAGATGCGATTTAAACCTAAAAAAAAAAGAGTAATCATTAAAACAAAATAATGATGATAATAATCAATTATAACTTGAAGTATAAGACTCATGAGATTTAATTCTTGATCAAGGTTGTGAAAAACGACCGCTACAAAACAATATAGAAATAATGCCAATATTGCAATTCAACTTAATTAGGATGAAAAAGAAATTGTGGTTAATTCAACTGAGACGACCATAATCACTATCGCGATGACTATCAATCAATATTACAACAGCAATTAACATAAACACAATTGCAAAAATGTTACCAAGGAAGATCAAATGTTGTGTTTGCTTCTTCTGAGAGCCCACACTAACAATACTAATTCTCTGTTTGTGAATAAATTTCGAACGAGAAAACCTAACCATACTTTGTGTTTGGGTTCAAATATATATACTAGTAAATATTTAGGTTTGGTCGTTTTCTATTGCCTTTTAATTATGTACTCTAATTATTTCTTATATTTCTTAATCTCCTGAATACCGGGATCATATTTTTAGGGTTGGGCTTTTTAAAACTTTATAGTTTTTATTTTTTAATTTTATTAATAATTTATTATTGATTAAATTATAGTTTTCATTCCTCAATTAAAGTTCATTCAGTAAGATAATTCTATGTTTTTTATTCGCTTCTCTAATTGGTTAAAATATGATTATATACCATTTTTTAAATATGTGACAGGATTAAAATAATGTGAACCTTCTCAATCTATAATTACTTCAGTTTTCCTGAACTTAAAATATTAACCATTTAATTATGTCAATATGATAAAATAAAAAAATGCACATGCTAGCAATATATTGAAACAAAATAATTATTCAAAAAATATATATAAAATTAAGAGTTATATAAGTTAGAGGTGATAACCTTCAATTTTAATTTCTATAATTTTTTATAAATAATAATATTCACAATATTTTCTCTCCTTATTTTAGGTCTCTCCAATTAAATTTCGTCAGTTAAAGTAACGTTTATGCATGCAATTGTTGCAATTTTATTGTCTTTTCTTAATGTGCAAACATTGTGCACTAAGGAAACTGCAATTTAATCTGAAAAACTCACTTTTTGTGTTTCTTTCTAAATTATATATATATATATATGTAATAACAGATTTCTACAAATAATATTTTGTGTTAATTTGTTATATATATATATATATATATATATATATATATATATATATATATATATATATATATATATATATATATATATATATATATATATATATATATATATATATATATATATATATATATATATATATATATATATATAAAAGTTTAATTGATATGCACTGACAGTATATTTTACATTGTTATCTAATAGAAAATAAACAATTTGCCATGTCATTTAATTCTTTTTAAAATATATCGGAAAGAGAGGTTGGAAGCGAAGGAAGGTTTCGAGGAGACTAACATGGTGATATTGGAGTAAGACATTGTTGTTTTTTAAATTATTTAAAGGGGTTTAAAATTTTAAAATCTGTCTTTTTTTTTAGTGTTAACTGTAATTAACGTGGTGTGACATGTAGCGTGTCATATAAACCTCTATTAATTAAATCTAACATGAGAGATTAAAAATAGAGACAGAAAATATTACGAAAATCATTATTCGAAAACAAATTTGGAGAAACAAAAATTAAAAATTAACATATTTATAGGGACTAAAAACATATTTAAACAAAAAATTAAAAGTAATTAGAAAGTTATTTAATTATAAGTCCTCTAAGATTTTTTTAGACACTATCAACAATTAAATATACTAATTGATTAAAAGTTAAATTTTTTAATATATAAAGCATAAAAAATAATATATATTTTCTTTTGAAATACAATCAACAATTAAATATATTAATTAATTAAAACTTTTATTTATTTTTTAATATATAAAGGTTACTTATTTGTCTTTTCTATATATTAAAAAAATTAAAAGACTGAAATGAATATTCTGCTAGGATTTGTTACTATAAATCAAGAAAATTACTTTGAAGAAAAAGACCAATCGAAAAGAAGCACGCGGAAAATCAAGGGAAAAGGAGAAGAGATTATCAATGATACAATTTTCAGGAATTAGTATGAGGTGAATGATTTGGTTTCTAGTGCCAAAAAAGTTTTGATTGGAGAACGCTTCTTCAAAGACATGGTCATGGGGGAGACATCGACAAGAAACTGTGTGGGAGGTATGAATCAAGACGAGATGGTGGAACGCATTAAAGAAGACTGAAGTATTCAGATTGTGGAGAAGATGATCGGGGAGTATGAATGCCCTGAGTTCATCTCGACTAAGGAAGAAGAGGAAAGAATCACAAAACACTGGAAACAAGGTGTGATTGTCAAGTTGCAGAGTCGAAAGATTGGGTTCAAGGCGTTAGAGAGTAGACTCAATAGTCTCTGGGCACGTCATGGAACTCTCAACATTATGGATATGGGTCACGAGAACTTCTTGATTCCATCTCGAAGGAAGAAGATAAACATATAGCGATGCTAGAAGGATTGTAACACCCTAAATATTCCCCACGTATTTTATAATAATTATCAGAGTAAAATTAATATTTAAACATTTAGGATGTCACAATTCAACAAAACCTGCTCATGTAATCAGATATTTAATACTTACTATTTTAAAAACTATTAATAATTATAACAATAAAACATGTCTGAAACTTCAATTTTTATTGCAGCGGAAAATATCAACAACTAGAGAGTTTGATAACTCAAAGCACAATCGTGTTTTTAAAATAAACATAACAACAACAATTCAAGAAATTTCAAATAATCTTCCACAAATTTAAATAACATAAAAATGTTCCATCTTCTGGTGTTACACATCAGAGCAGACTCTGACTCTATAAAACAAAAGGAAAACTCCATCTCCCACTCACTTCAACACCGAACTACTCCTGAATATCTGCATGTTACCCGCGTTGAGGTAATATTCAAACATAAGGGATGAGATATCATAATTATATAAAGGAATGCATAATAATATGTCAGCAACAAATTATTACAAGCACAACATACATTCCAACAACACATTCCACGCCACCAACACAACAACACCACACAAATGCAATGCAATGAGACTCAACAACTCCACTCAATGCATGTGGTGCTAAAATGTGAACTCTCGGATTCATCAGTCTGATCCCCACCTAGGATTGAAGCTCACCAAACGGCCCTCTGTCTAAAATTGTTACCAAGTAACGCTTCACTAATCCATTACAATAGGAATTAGCTACACGCACCCAATCTGCACAATGGGATTGAGGCTCACCAAACACGAATCTCCATCCAACACCATGATTGCGTACAACATATTATACATACAACACAATAACATACACAAAGACTTTCACCATTGTCAATGGACCTCGCCACTACTGGCCATCATGCACCAACACCTTCCAAAACATGCAGCAACAACAACATAACGATATAGCAAGTAATAACAATGCATTTACACACATTCCACAAAACAACATAAACACATTATGAATCAAATACATGCCCACGCATCAAATAATTTGAATTTTGGTACATAAAATAATTTAAAATTAAAGTACATTACACCAGCTTTCTAACGCTTCAAACGACGTATCAATCAGATACTCACAGCTCAAGATATGAATTATCAAAGATAAAAAAAAAACCAGTTTCGGGGTAACCGGTTACATCAAATGAGGTAACTGGTTAAATTATTGTAACCACGCCACTATTATGCAAATTTTTCTCTAGTTGTCCGGTTACATCACTGAGGTAACTAGTTACCTCATTGTAACCTGCCCAAAACCCTTTTTTTGAATGATGTAACTGGTTACATTAACTCATGTAACCAGTTACATATGCTCCAAAATAACTTTTCTGCTACTTTTTGACACGAAAATCACTTGTTCCCAATACCCAAATATCTCCAACTCTCACGCAATGCATATTCTAGGTTCTAGATTTTAACTCATATTCACATACATCATTAACAACATTCTAACACATCTAATTTACCGATACAATATACAATCACATGGTCCACATAAATTAATTTACACCAACATACATCATCATAATCATACAATTTCTCATTATCCAATTGCATCCAATTTAATCAACAAAACAAAATTTCACAATTGGAATGTTTAAAACATATGAGAGAACTAATTTCTAGCAAGCAACCAATTCCTACCCACAAACCATTATACAAACCTTTAGATAATCAGAACTTCACTCTTACGTTATAGTTCTTGCAAGCTCTTCTATCTCTTAACAATGGTGGTCTCTTTCTCCCTTGAGCCCTAGATTCCTCTTCTCACTTTCTCGTGTTTCACGTTCTGCCAGTTTTCTATCCCCAAAACCCCTTTTCTTCTTTTATTATTTTATTATCACTATTATTTAGTTCTACCATTTATAATAATAATACATACTCCTTAGTTAACTAATTAAATTAAATAATACCAATATATATTATCTAACTAATTAATTGTTAATTAATATTGCTAATTAGCTCCACTCACCACACCATCCATCTCTACATTATTACTCACGCACTTTCAATACCTAAAATAATATTTTCTAAGGCTACCACCCTACACCAAAAGACTCTCTAATACACCAAAAACCAATCACACAAGATTACCAAATATCACATAATTAAATCACCAAAATAATTTAAATTAAATCGGGGCATTATAAGGGTTGTGGATAATTTATGATCACTACTTGATTGCCCAAAATTAGTGTCCCAATTTCAATCTGATTATTGATGAGGTTGAGCAGCTTGTTGTCTGGGTTCGTGTCTCGAGGCT